TAATTAGTGCAATTCACAGGCTTTCAAAGATACAATTACAATTTATTTTGTACCTTAAATGTATTAGGTGGTTCATTTAGTTACTAATTCTTGTAGTCATAGATTGGAGGAAAAATCATGAATGGTGTATGATGGTAGCACGCTAGTTGAAGCAGATTATCTGGATTCTTTTCAGTCAGTATGTGGCATATTCTGCTGTGAAGTACAGCCTACCTAATATACTCAAACTAGGTTTCTGTGTTTGATTAGCATGCATAACCTTGTTTCTATCTGCTGACTCCTTCAGATTGATTCCTTGTGATGAACCATCAGGTAATCACAGCATCATACTCTGAACATCTTTCTGGTGCAGCCACAAAAAAGCATGTATCTGAAATCCCATAGAATGGCAACATTTAAGGTAAGGGAGATTTTAGAACAGATAGATACCCTCAGGCAAAGATGATGCTGCAAGTGACCTTGACCCAAGCAATTTAGAATTTTAAAGATAATAGCCAGAACTTTGAACTGTATCCAGAAAGCAACTGGAAACTAATGCAGCTCATATATCAGCGGTGTACAAAGGCAAAATATGAAGAGCCCAGAACTGTACAAGCTGTTGCATGTTGGACGAACTGGACCAGATTGTTTTCAAGGACAGAACAATGTAGATCACACTGCAGTAATCCAACTAAAAGATAACTAAAGTGTGAGTGTCAGTGAGCAAGGTTTCCCAGTCTAGGAAAGGTCACAATTGGAACAGAAGCTTAACCTATACAAAGGAGGCCTCCCTTACCTGCAGCTGCTATCTCGTGCTTTACCAGGAGTTGTGAATCTAGGAGGACCCCAAATTGTAATAATAATAATAATAATAATAATAATAATAATAATAATAATAATAATAATAATAATAATAATAATAATAATAATAATAATAATAATAATAATAATAAAGTTGGAAGGGACCTTGGAGGTCGTCTAGTCCAACCCCCTGCTCAGGCAGGAAACCCTATACCATTTCAGTCAAATGGCTGACCAGTCTCTTCTTAAAAACTTCTAGTGTTGGAGCATTCACCACTTCTGGAGGCAGGTTGTTCCACTGGTTAATTGTTCTAACTGTCAGGAAGTTTCTCCTTAGTTCTAGGTTGCTTCTCTCCTTGATTAGTTTCCATCCGTTGCTTCTTGTCCTGCCTTCAGGCGCCTTGGAAAATAGCTTGACTTATGCACCAACTCTGTCTGTTGGAGTATTATCCCACTGAGTATCAAGGCTGACAACTCACCAGAGGCCTCACCCCACTAGGGTGGGAAATCCAAACCTATTCAACTTGTGAGAAAATCTGTTTGGTGAAGTAGTTAAGGCACCAGGCTAGGAACTGGAAGATTAGTCCCATCTTAGGGCCAAAGACAACTGGGTGACCTTGGGCCAGTCACTCTGTCACTCCTAGAAAGCAGGCAATGGCAAACTACTTCCAAAATCTTGCCAAGAAAAATGCAAGGTCTTGTCCAGACAGTTGCCAGGAGTCAACTTTGACTGGAAAGCACAAACACTAAAAGTGGCTTTGGTCCAGTCAAAGCTCATTGTTGCCCATCCAGGCTCCAGACGCTAGATATGCACCTGATGGGGGTAGAGATTTATAACATATTGATGATACACCATTCATAATATCAAATAACCTTATCCAATGGCCACATGTAGTTGTTAAATAGGAGAAGGAATAAGGGGGAAACCAGAGACCTGAGGCACCCTACATAAAAGAGGCCTGAGTGCACCTCTCCCATCACCAACACCAACTAGTCCCAGCCATGGAGGAAGCAGCCATGGAGGAAGCAGAATCACTTTAAAGCAGTGCCCCCCCCCCACTCCTAATCTTATAAAAAAACCTCACTTGCAAGCTCATCCACAGCCACTTGATTCTACAATCAAGAGTCCAAAACCAAGTCACCACAATCCTTACTGGTTTAGGTCCCCCACATCTATTTTCTTGTCATTCTTCTGTTCTGCTCTAAGCCATCCCACTATTGAAGATAGAACTTAGCATGGAAGACCCCAATGATCACAGGAAGTGCAAGCCTGAGTTAGGGATATACTGGTGCCAGAGCAGCCTTTGCCCACCAAGAAGTTATTACCAACTTAAGTCATTACTGAAGAGAAAGGTGCTTTGCAATACAAGGATGTGGTCTGGCAGTGCTGCTTGAGGAGAAGAGAATAGGAGGAGAGGCCAGTCACTGCTGTTGATGCAGGACATATTGGAAGAGCAGCTGAAGTACATGGCAGGCAGAAGGCGAAGAAGAGAGAGGAATTTGGAGATATGCAAAGCTGGAAGGACCAATGTACGAAGGCCTAGAGAAAGGATTTACTTCCACATTGTTTAAGATAGCAGACAGAGAACCTGTTTTAATGGTGGTTGGCTCCTAATGACACTTGAGACCTGTCAAACTGTTACTCTCTTGTTTTCTTTTCTGTCAAACTATTTAATGATGTAGGAAACCAGGCTGCTTTGGGCACCCAGCAGATTACACACTGGCTTCAGATTTTAACTATCAATATTTTCTTTAGGATATGTTTTTTCTTACTCCCTTTTATTCCTGTCCTTTTTTCTTTCATTTGGTGTTTCTTTAGCTGTTTCTTTACCTTCAGTTCTTTTAGACCTAATGGCTCTTTTCCTTCTATTGATTTCTTTTTTGATTTCAACACCATTATGGTAACTGCCAGTTCTTTTTCATTAGACTTAAAGATGAACTCTAAGTCTTTTCAGAAAAACGTCGCAGAATTGAAAAAAGCTTGCTCACTTAGGGTACTTATACCTGTGTTTTTTTACTTCTTAATCTCTCTTTTTGGAGGGCATGGAAAAACTTAAAAGATGTGCCTGGATGATACAAACCGACCTGAGAGCTGTCAAGGCACAGTTTATCATGGCAGTGTTTTATATAAATAAATATACTATAAGCCTCCAGAAAGCATCCTAGAAAGACCATAGTGTACCATTTGGATTGGAAGTCCAGGGTCTAGAAGATAACCATAATCTTGGATGAGGATATCTAACATTAGTATTGTTTTATCATGATCACCAATGTGCTAGCTTCCAGGTCTGCTTCTTTTGATGTTGGAAAAAAAGAAAGGAAGGAAGGAAATGGGAGTGTTGAGGTCACCCACACAGGATTCCAGCCACACCGTGGCTCTGGTGGCTCTTCTGACATATGCTAGCATAGATAAATTTTCCTCTTTTCAATTCTCAAGAATTTTAAAAAAGGCCAGATAAAACAAGATAGCAGAACATTTGATTACCTTTAGGTTCAGTATTACTGGACTGAAATACAGCAAAGGTAGGATCAGGCAGTCTTCATAGCATGGTTTGCATAGCAGTTTTCACCCTGTGGCTATAGCTGTTTACTTCATCATCATAGCACTAAAAGAGCTGATATCTTCTCTAGTTTTCAATCAGTAGAAGACATTATAATACATAATAAAAGAGTCTTGAGTAATGTGTAAATGGGTAGAAAAGTGCTCTTTGGTATGCAATTGTGGTACATCAATCATAATTTTGTTTTCATTGGTGAGATGCAGAAACAAAGCAGCATTTCCCAGCAAGTAGATAAACATGCTCAAGTAAGAGCAGCCATTGAACAATACCTAGATGTCTAGAGGAAATATGTTTGTTTTGATGCTTCTGTTGTTCCATCTAAAGTTAGTTTATTATATAAAAGATGATTCTAATATACTTCTTCCTTAATGATGCCCATAGAGCAGCAGTTTATTCTGGTATAGGTTTCATTTCTCCTCAGTTTAACAATATAGGTTACTGTGGGTGAATACACAGTGTACAGAAAAAAAGAATTCATATCTTAGTTTGGAGAGGTAAAAGACAAATAGTTTAAAGATGTTTTTTTCTGACAATAAGAATCAAGAAGTTTAGTGTGTAATTATCCTTTATTATGCTACAGTGAAAGAAGATGCTACAGCACAAAAAAAAGATTATAGGTGAGTTGCAACACAAAACAAAAAATCTGATCTTCACCCCATCACAAGTTTGAAGCCCTAGAATATTATCTCTTTCAACAAAAATACTATGTCTTCTAAAGCAGGGGTCCCCAACCCCCGGTCCATGGACCAGTACCAGGTCGCGGTATGCCAGCAACCAGTCTGCACAAACAGGGAAAGCCCCATCCACAGGATGCAGGCAGCACAGAAAACCACCACTCTTCGGCGGAAAAACCTCTCTCCATGTAACCGGTCCCTGGTAACCAAAAAGTTGGGGACCTCTGTTCTAAAGCAGTCCAAACACATAAAGAGGGCGTCAGACTAGGAAAGCTAAAGATTTCACATTCATTAGTTTAGGCTGCCTTCAAATAGAGAACATCAAGATGACTCTCTATTTAATTCTCTGTATTATATCTGAACTTACATTGTAATAAATGTATTACTATGACATTACATCATGTATGTCCAACGTTTTGGCTTGTCTTAGCCACACTGGGTGAAGAGGAATTGTCTTGGGATGCATGTAAAATATATAACATAGTTAATGTATATAAATAGCAAACTTGTTTTATTTTTTTAACCATCTTGTGGGGCTGCATTAGTAGTTGTCCAGGATTGCATGAGGCCCCTGTGCGGTGGGTTGGACATGCCTGCCTTGAATCATAGAAGTGTGACAAAACCAATGAGTTATTTCGTTTCCAGGAAGTGCTAAGAATCCCATAAAACCCAGGCTGTTAGCTAATCCACTAGTTCAGTGTTTCTCAACCTCAGCAAGTTTAAGTGGTCTGGGTTTCAAACTCTCAGAATTTCCCAGCCAGCATTCTACCTGGGGAATTCTGGGAATTGAAGTCCAGACCTCTTAAGTTACTGAGATTGAGGAAACACACAAAGTCAGTTCACCTAAGGTCCCCAAAGAACCCCCCCCCGCCTCTTCTGAACACCTCCCTTTAGTTGCGCCTGCGCAGTTTGATCCGCGCAACAGCCCAGGCGCTGAATTTGGTGCTGCTGTCCAGCTTACCAGATAACCGTAGAGATCCCCGGGACGCTGGTAGAACATGGTGTTGAGTACTTCCTCCAAGCGCTGCGGTACTTCATTGCTCCGGTAATACTCTGCAGCCTGCTGTTTGAGATCCATGATAGAAAACCGTCGATCCGGCTCCGATTGCCCTCCCCTCCCCGTGTAAGTTTCCCGGCGCGCCATGATCCCCCACCACCGTCGCTAGGAAACGGGAACGCTCTCCTCCTTTGTCCCGAGATTTCCAAAGTCTCGCGAAATCCTCTTCTCTAGCAGCGAGCCGAGCCGAGCCGCGTCGGTTCAGAGATGCGATGCTTAGAGCGAGCTGCTTGACTTTAATGAACTTTGCCTTGGGAGAGACATGACCGTCACTGTCCAGCAATAGAATCCGTTGACATAAATAAAGTGTAGCTGGGAGAAGGAATGACTTCACCATAAGGGACCCCAGCAGCGTGCTTTTGGTGATTTCTAGTCCTCCAGGAGGGTGTCTCTCTTGCCTTTATGCTCGGATAGAGAGGGAGCTATTTTCACACCTCATGCTTATCCTTAATGAGCATAGCCATGGTTTATTCACATGTGTAGATTCACATGACACAGTGGATCCATATACTAACCACCTGGTTTGGATGTACACTGGCTGTTCAGTCTCTTCTTAAAAACCTCCAGTGATGGAGCACACCCACAACTTCTGAAGGGAATCTGTTCCACTGATTCATTGTTCTCACTGTTAGGAAATTTCTTCATTCCGGGTTAAACTTCCAAACAGTGAGAACAGTTAACCAGTAGAACAGCTTGCCTTCAGAAGTTGTGGATGCTTCATCGCTGGAGGTTTTTAAGAAGAGACTGGACTTATCTGAAAATGTATAAGTCTCCTGCTTGAGCAGGGGGTTGGACTAGAAGACCTCCAGGGTTCCTTCCAGCTCTAATCTGAATGAATAATGCAGGAGAGTAAAATCTGGCAGGCTAGTTAGAGATTCAGGGTATCCTGAGAGTTGAAAATTGAGGCTGTCCCTGCTGCTGGCGTCAGTTTCTCAGCATGCATTACTTACCTTAGATGTGACTGGTCATTCTCAACCAAAATGAGTTAGAGTGAGGACTAAGCTTAGTGAGGATATACATCTTATAAACCAGATCTTGGTTTATAATCTGGCTTTCTTTACTTGATGAGAACTTTCTTATTTTTTGCAAACAATCTTGAATGTTAGAGTTTCAATGAGGAAGAACTCCTCTGCTTTAAAATATTATGAAGACAAGAATCTGGAGAGACAATTGTAGAAAATGTTATAAAATGCTTGCTGTTAATAGTGTAGTGAAAAGTTTGTTTAGATGATTCATGAGTCAAATAACTTACACTGAATTAATGTGTTTCAATTCTGGAAATGTGATAAAATTGCCAAATATTCTGAGTTTCATAATTTTGCATAAATCAAGTGTTTCTATCATTAACTGGAAAATAGAATAGAAGTTTGAATATTGTTGAAATCTGAAACTTTGGATATGTTGCTAAGAGCATCAAGGAAACAAAAGTTTACAGCAACATCCTAGATGAAATACAGCTTATCATTATTCAGTCATGGAAAAAAAAAATCAGCATTTCCATGTATTAAAATTGTGAAAGCATTAGAAAGCACCTGTGTGAAATAAAGAGGAAGTACAAAGGGGCTTGACAAGATACAGGAAACACATTTTTCTTCTCTAAATGGCAGCCTATTATTTTGTCTCTAAGGAATCATGTTTGCCATTGTGTCTCCAGGTGCTGTGCTACCAGCTCTAGGTTATGTGATGGTGTGCAAAAACTTTCAGTGGCAGTGTAGTGCTCCACACAAAGGGAAAAGTTGGGATTACTCCCTTAAGCAATAAAGTATATTCTATAAACCAGAGTGTCAAAAAACCCTAATGGCTTAAGTGATATGTTAAACAAATCAGCAGTTTCTCTGCTTTCCCTAGAGAGTGTTGAACTGTTTACCTTTCTGCCCCAAATGGGAAGATAGTAAGAGGTAGCAGATGCTGCTTCAATAGAATTGGTCTGTCCTCGTGCTTATTCTTTTGATAGCTCCCCTGGAAACCTCCTTACTTCTCTGCAAACAGAGGAAGTGAGCTGGAAAAGGCAAGGGATGAAATTAAGGAGTAATTCTGACAGGACTCATTCTTCTATAATGTTTCATTTTAAACTTTACTCTCCTATTTAGTTTTCTGGCTCCAATACTAACAACTTGGAAGTTTATAACACTCAAATATTCCATTCTTGCTGAGCTCTTTAAATTCCTCTGTTGTTGCTTTTCCTCCTCCTCCTCCTCCTCCTCTTTGTATTTCTGCAAAGCTTTGATGATCTTATCCTAACCCTAATACCTTCCTTTCATATGTAGATGATTCTGTTACGCTGTGCAAGGATTGTCCATGTTAAGAGTCTCACCTTCCAAAGATGCCAAGAAAAAAAACAAACTCCAGGAAAAAAAAAATCATCGATGTGAATAGAATTACAAAAAATATGGTTCATTGCAGTGGAAACTAACTGCAATCAACCTTAAGTTAATGAGTTCCTCCCCTTGTTCTTTCCTTAGCGTTATTTTTGTTGCTTATGATATACTACATCTAAATCTCAGTTCCCCTGCTGTTGATTTAAGTGGTTAATTTATTGAAGAGCAACAAAACTCATAAGATATGATTTGAAGTTATGTTATTTCCAATAATCAATTTGAACCAAAGTAATTAAAAGAAATAAACAGAAAATAGAAACATATGTCCAAAATGATCATAGAATGGCATAAAAAGAGTGGATTATATTACTAACTAGTTATCCCCATCAAGATAACATATATTTTATCATGATGCATTTCTCATTCGTATAAACATTTATTTATTTATCTCAAAGGTGCTTTTTCAGGAGGGAACTGGACTTTCTTGTTTTTCTCTGAAGACCTTTCGCTTCTCATCCAAGAAGCTTCTTCAGCTCCGACTGGATGGTGGGGAATGAAAGGATTTATATTCCTTGCAGACAGTTGGTCATTTGCATTCTTTTAGAGAGTCGTTGAGGCCATTTGGCGGCTTATCTGTGTCCTCAAGCTTCTTGGATGAGAAGTGAAATGTCTTCAAAGAAAAACAAGAAAGTCCAGTTGCCTCTTGAAAAAGCACTTTTGAGGCAACCATGACCTGGATGACTGAGAATCTCCTTAGACATTTATTTGTTTAGAAAATTTATATGACCGTCCAGGTCATTCAGTGACATGGGGTGGCTTACAAAAATAAAACCCCAAATACAAAACCCAATAAACATTTCCTTTCATAAAACTGTTCCTATCTTGTACATTTATATTTCAAATTGTACTGCTGTACATCAACATTATAGTAAATTACGCATAACAATAAAGTATAGAGCATAACTTTTTCATTTGAAAATGATTGTTATAAAGTAGTAAAACATTACTGTTATTAGAACTAAGCATGTTATCTTGAGCAATATATTTAATCTTAGCTAGCTTAACCATTTCTTGCTATAAAATGCAGCTAAGCTCTTTTCTTTCTAAAAAGGAAAAGGCCTTAAAAATTCAGGGTTAAATGTATCATGCTGGCATATATTAATAAGTATTGTTTAAATTGGTCTTTTGTATATAAAGTATATATTATAGAAAGCATTGCATAGTTTAGTTAGTATCTTTTTATTTTTGCACCCAGATTGTGTGCTGATTTTCAAGACTTTTAAAAGGTTGGTTATGATATTTATTGTCTGAAATTTTGTGGCAAGTACCTTTTTAGGATCAAAAAAAGACTCTTTGAAAAACAAAATTGCTAAAGATTACCATGCTGAAAGGAACACAGATTACAGTTTGTAAAATGTCTACAAAGGATAAAGCAGCCAAAAGTGCTCTCTCTCTCTCTCTCTCTCTCTCTCTCTCTCTCTCTCTCTGTGTGTGTGTGTGTGTGTGTGTGTGAGAGAGAGAGAGAGAGAGAGAGAGACTTACACACCTTTATTTTTGATGGAAAGAAACATTTCTTGATCTAAATGATCACTTTTAGCCTACAAAAACTACTTTATTATATTCTTCATTTGTAATTTTGTTTGAACTAACTGAAAATGGATACACTTAAAATGCTGTTAGCTGTATACTTCCTTAGATCTGAAATCAATGTCCATAGACCTCCCTCATTGTATGTTCACTTCAGTGGGCTGGAAAGTAATGAAGAAAAATCTCCACTGCATCGTTTTCCTTTTCATTCACATCCTTTTTGAAATATCCTAGTATCTCTGCAGGGAGTTAATCCCTCTTCACGTCTCTGTAGTCACCAAAATGTTTCTGAATTGAAGACACATTCCTTAAAGGAAGTATGTGCATTGCTGCAGCCCATTAGTTTTTATTAAAATTTAGGCAATTGCATTTTTGGCAGCACACTTATAGTTCTACAATATTTTTAATTAAATTGTTGTCACAAACTTGGGGTGATTTTATTTTCTGTGATAATTTGTTAATCCCAAAGTATCCTTGGACGTATCCCCAAGTCTCCCATTTTGTAAGAAATTTTTATATCAAGTATACATTAAATTTAGTTGTTAAATAATTATTGAACCAGATCTAGCATAAAATTTATTTCCTAGTATATATTTTGAGCACTATGAATTATAAATCTATAAATACTTAAGAGATAGTGTCTGAAAACTTTCCCTGAATAATTTTTGTTTTGTGCCTTTATTATACTAGATTAATCCATTAGTCAGATAGAATAACTAGGCTTACACTGTACTACATATACCAAATTTTACCTGATCTACAAGTTATCAATTTATATAAATAGAAATTCAGTCTTGACTAATGATTGCGTTTTTGTGATGGCTCAACTCTAAATTTGAATATCCCATTAGCTGAGTTGAGCAAACATGTATCTAGTAGCTACAAAGATTATATAGCATATGGCAGTATATCTAGTATATAGATAACATAATATATGCTGGTAGCCAATGTAGTGAGATTCATGAAAGGGTATTATAATGCAAATAGGCCAAAGATAGATTTACATTTGTATCCACACTAAATATACATGCAAAAGACTTCTTTTGCACATGAAATATTCTTGTTGAATTGGGGAAGGTGTATTTAATGAATTTAGCCTATGTGTATCTCTGGGTGGATCTTTTTATATACCATGTTTTCTTTATCATATGATATTAAAATATTGGTACTGTACACCTGCTGTTATCCTTACA